GAACAAGGGAGTACAGTTTCGTTTACGACAAACGCGGGGGCGGCGGCACCACGGGCTTATCCACAATGACTGCCTGAAGCAAAGACTGTTGTTACTTAGCTTACTGTTTATGAACATATTCAGTTCAGGTTACACACCCTCCTTTTCCGAGGTGTATTGCCAGCGTGATAGGAATAGTAGTAGTTCTCGGAATTGAAATCCAATATGTTTAGGGTAAGTCGTGCCAGAGTATGGGCATTAACATTCATCTTACAATACACTGTGTTAAAAAGTTAGGTATGTCTGTTGGAAGCGTTACAAGTACTAGTAGCGTGCGACTTCAAATCCTAGACACTGTTAAAAATGGAGTGTGACAATGAGCAAGTAAAAAGTTATTAAACTCTATGTAGCTATTTATGTGTTTGTATGTTACGTCTGTAACATTGCTGTGCAGCTTGATTTCAATAAACAAAGAAAGTTCCATTTGCCAATAGCTATAAAAAATTTAACTGAATTTTGACAGCCAATATTTCGTCTTCTGACAGGCATACTTCATTAGGAAAATGAGGGCTGTCAAAGGTATTACATAATTTAGAAATATCTTAGTGTCGTTTACAACATGGCTACGCTGAGAGAGAGAGAGAGAGAGAGGCGTGACTACAGCATATCCACAAAGACTGAAGCCTGTAGTGTTGCAGATGGACTAAAAAGTTGGCTAAAAATGAGAGCTGCTTCAAGTACAGCTTAATAAGTTGTAATCTTAGCCAGGCAATTGATTTGTTTATGTCTTTTTTTTCTTCAGTGCTCTGTGCAGCGAGCACATACTTCGTCTTTAGCTTCTTTCGTGATGAATGAGCAGAAAATGCCGATTGAGACTCGAGTTCATTGCCTCCAATTTCTCCAATTTTTATTATTTGACACACAGTTCATTTAACTGTATATGCGTTTTTTTTTTTCAAATATTCCATGGATTCCAGCTTGATGTAGTTAACTTTATATTCATTTTTCGCTCATATTGTACCGTGTAAATGCGATAAATAGCAGGACGCATTGCCTGAAAAGTCAAATGATTTCTTTCTTTGTAGCTCAGCTTAAAATTTGAAAAGGAAAGTAAGTGATTTAAAGCCCTTCTTCGCTTTCTTTGGAGGGGGGACGAGGTGTTTTTTCTCCATTTTTCGATTTGGGAACGTTTAATTAACTAAGGGTAACGCCTCATCGGATGAGCAATTGTGACTAAAAGTAACCAGTACTCTCTTTGTCACCAAGAGCTTCAGCAAAATAAGTAAGTGAATTATTTTCCCAAACCAAATGGGTGATTTGGACATCAGCTGAATTAATCTCACAACATCAATTAACCCACAAGCAATCAAGCGCAGAAAGTTGTTTGCTCCCCACACGAAAGGGCCAGAAATATTCGAAGGATCTGCTCTTATATGTTCATGGAGGCGACAGCATTTCAAAATTTATTTCTTCAAAATTCATTACTTTTGTAATCTTCCACATATCCTCACAGCAATCCCGGTGGCTAGGAGTCGCACAATAGCATAGGCGTATCGGGAAAAGCAGCAACTGCGACTTGGAGTAGAGTCATTTTCACGTTGCTATGAGCGTTGACCTCACGTTCAGATGTCACCTTGATTGGTTAGAAACCGGTTGTTGTGAAATAGCTACATGATTTTAAAAAAGGGTGCATAAACTTTAAATACACATATTTTAAAAACAATCTACGCGTGCCATGCTAGTCTACCATAAAGCAAAACACCCCATCAAAATTGGTTAAAGTATTCAAAACGGATGTTGTTAAATCCCCATAGGGTCCAATGGAGTCAATAAAATAAAGGGGGGGGATACGAAACAAAATACCCCACGCATGCATTAAAATTTTAAAATAAAATAGAGACATCCGTCAAATCACACTCTGACTCACTCCACTTACACTAAACTCCCGCGGCTACGCCCTGGGTTCATCTTTTGTTAACCCCACATTCTACATCGGTAGAAACCCACGATAAACGCTTTCGGAGTCTTCGTCGTTTTGAGAGCAGTGAAACCCCTTGCTTTTAATGTAGCATGAGAGGGGCTTTATGAAATGGACCGGTATTTTTGGATTGACCCCGAGGTCGATGTGTGATCGTATACGAAATTTAAGAAAGAATTTAAGACCGAAAACTGTGTGATGACCTTTGATAATCGCGGAGGTCCACATTGTCTCAGCTAAGAATCAGCGCTCGCCGCTGACAATGATACGGCCCATGGCATAAAGATTTTTAATTTTTTTAATTGGAGCTTGGCAAAGCTTTAAGGGCTACGGAGGCCGGGAATCCGAACGATTGGCAAATGTAATCTAGGCTTAAGTTTAATTTAATTTCTCTTTGACTAACACATAGATAGGGAACCATCTTCGGTGTTTGCAAGTGATGGCGATCATCTAAACTATGTAGCAAGTTGATACGGGGTTCCTTCTTATATAGCGTTATTTCTGCGAAACTCAGTTGCACAACGACTGCGTTCGAGTATCTACGTGTCAAATCTATATATATTGCATATACTATTACGTCTATCAAGAGAAGTCAACGACAAGTTGCCGACTGTTTACCCTCGAGGGTGACAAAAACTCGAAGCTATTTCCCATAGAGTATTATGCTGGAAGAACGGAGTAGGTCAAATTTAAGACCAGGAACAAGAAGAAGATGCAGTTTGAAAGTTCTTTTGTGGCTGAGTGAGTGAGAAATTCGGTCTATCTCTTGGCATGTCGACTTATTTCTGCCAAAAAAGAAACTAGTAGACGCGGTCTATATGTGTTACCAGGAATGCACGCTGGCTTCGTATGTTACTGTGAGGTTCAGAGGGTATATTTGCTAAAGCAAGTCTGTTCACATGTCTCATAGATACCAATTTACAGTAATGACGATATCATTTAACGAGAAACCGCTTGTCTTACAGATACTGAGTGGACACATGAGCGTGAGGCTCAAGTTGCGGACACAGAAAATGAACTTCGTAATAGCAGCAACATTGGCCGATCGGGTGGTCGCTACTGACGCAGGAAAACCCTTCAGAGGGTGCGCGCTTGATTCTGATAAACTCAAGGGGTGAACTCCCCAGACGAAAGTACGTGGAATTTATTGATAACCCTGACATTTTCTTTTTCACACAAGCACACTTAAAATAATGTGTGAACCGAGTAACTACATGCCTTCGCCTTCTTTGTCCCAACTGTGCCCCATGAAATGTAGCACAGGTGCTGAGGTTACTTATGTCCCGATTTTGATGCACATGAAAATGGGCCGAATCAAGTTATGTATGGGAAACATACACGACAGCGCCGCTACCTAAATGTGATTTCCAAAATTTAGCAAAATTCAGAAAAATGTAGCAAATTAGAAATCCACAGAGGCAGATACCTAAATTCAAAGGCATTGTCCACTGGACAGAGAAGTTGAAAACGAATTAGGGACCATTCCCGGACCCTATCATACTAACTGTGAATCGATCCATCCCCGAGGGCTAAATTGCTTTCAGCTTAAGCGGCTCAGATGTCTGTCACGCGTAAGGAGTAATTAGTTATCGTTTAGCAGCTTCAGTAGGCGTGCCAGACATCTAAGCCGCCTAAGCTGAAAGCAATTTAGCGAGAAACCCCTCGGAGATGGATCGATCCTGTTACCAGTAGATGGATCTACATGTAGGTATGGGAACCCAGTTTTACATTCCCTGCTAAAATACTACATGCACAACAACAATGGAAACTTTAAGAACTAGAACAAATATAAATGCAAATGAACAATTTAAATGATTTCTGCAGTCACATGATATAAATACAATAAATAACAATATGCAACAATAAAAAAAGCAGATTCTGAATCAACCACCAACTTATTAAGTAATTAAACCAACTGATTATACTGTATAGTAATGTTGTTTTGCATGAGAACCTCATTTGTAAATATTTGCTTATAATATTGAATACATGTAATTAGAAAATAGTCATAGTGAAAAGTATATTGGCACCAGAAAGATGAATAAATAAATAAATAAATATACTGATAATCTGGTGTAGTGAGTGACACAATGAAAATTCTTCATTTGCAGAGAAAACTTTGAAATGCACTATAAAGATAAAAAAGAACCATTTTTTCCTGAATGTTGCCATAGCAACATAACTTACACGGAGACTCATAATTTTTCTCATCTTTATCTGCCATATGGCCTGAGGTCTATGTGCAGGGGTTATCGGTTATGAAAATACTTCATATGCGAAAAAAACTGAAAAATATGCAAAAAAAGAAAAGTAAAAAAAACAAACAAAGAAGTAACCGACATGGATCTTACAGTGTATAGGAAATGAACCCATAGTTTAAATTACCATATTTAACAGACAGGGGAATCTGTATTTGGATATTATCCGGATATGCATATAATTCAACTATTTATCACTGTATTTTTGGTATGTTATATAATGCGATATTCAAATGCGTAAATGCGATAAATAATAGTACGCATTGACTGAAAAGTCAAAGGATTTCTTTCTTCGTAGTTCTGCTAAATATTTGAAAAGGAAAGAAAGTGATTTTAAGTCACTGCTTTTTTTTTTGGGGGGGGGGGGAGATGAGGTGTATTTTCTCCATTTTTCGGTAGCATTTGTGAACAGTTCATCAAGTAAGGGTAACGCCTCATCGGGTGAGCGAGCATGTGAAATCAAGTACTCAGTATTCCCTTATGTCTGCATGTCACCAAGAGCTCCAGCAAAATGGGCATGTGAATTATTTTCCCAAACGGATTTGGTGGGTGTGGTCATCAGCCGAATTCATCTCACATTGTTAATTAACCAACAAACAATCAAGCGCAGAAAGTTGTTTGCTCCCCAAACGAAAGGGACAAAAAGATATATATTCATGGAGGCGACAGCATTTCAAAATTTATTTCTTCAAAATTTATTACGTATGCTATCTTCCACATATGCTCACAGCAATCCCGGTGGCTAGGAGTCGCGATATAAATTAGTCCCTTGGTCTGGCACATACCCGGTATCTCGGGGGCTCGTTCATGAGTCCTAAGCTACCATCTGGATCTGGAATCGCCTCTCCCTCTGGCACGTGGAACGTGAATGCCTTAACCAAAGCAGTAACGACCAGAAACATTTCCTGACGAGCAACAGTCTCTCCCGGGCAGGATCGCTTTCCTTGAACAACAAAAATATAAATATTTGTATTCGAATTAAATTGCCACTTGTGTTTTAATTTCTAATTTGTATTCAGTTGTAATTTGTATAAAAAGAACAGAGAAATTGCTTGTTATAGAGTACACCGATCATGCTCGAATGACATGTCTGCCAAAATTTTACAATATTGTATATGTCAATGTGACAAGTGACAAGACACTCATGAATATTTAGCAGTTTATGTAACTTCCGGTAACTCTGGAAGTCACGTGGTGAATTTGACCTTGTATATGTATTCATTCACTGTGTGTGCAGAGACCAAGAGGCACGTGTGTTGTGTGCAGTTGTGTGCTCTAGGCGTTGTCCGAAGTTGTCTGTCAGGGGGCCTTATATATGCCGTCTTCTTACATATGCCTTCTTTTTATATACCTTATTATGCCACCGTCAGGCCGATAAATGACTTTATATGCCACAATTGAACTGAATAAAAAATTGGGAAACTGATAATCTTTGTCATTGTTGCCATGCTATGAAAATATAAAAACACTCGGTTACATCGTGTCTTTGACTGGGGAGGAAAATGTCATCAGCTCGGAAGGTGGCGAATCAAGTATTGAAAAAAATCGCTAATAAAATGGGATAAATGAAATAAGGTTTAGGATGTTTTCAAAATATTACCTAGGGAAAAGGGGATGAAAGTCTCGATCTTTTTCAAGTTTCCATCTTCGTCTAAAAACCTTGAAGGTCGAAATTCACGAGGATTGGGCCAATTTTTTTCATCCATGAACACAGACCAAAAGTTTGCCAGAATTGTCGTTCCCTCAGGGATCACGTAGCCATTAATAGTGGTATCACGTATAGCTTTATGAGGAAGCGACAGCGGTCCAATATAATTGCAGCGTTGTATTTCCATTAGCGTAGCGTTAACGTAGGGCAGATTCGGCCTGTCGGCAAGACTGGGGCGTCGTGTCTTTCCTACGACTTCTTCCAATTCTGCATTGATCTTTTCACAGACGTCAGGGTTTGATAAGAGGAACAACATTCCCCAAGTTAATGTGGTCGAAGTGGTTTCCGATCCTCCGATATACAGCGTCTGGCAGTTTGCTATTAGATCATCATCATTGAAGGAAAAAGAATTCTCCGAGTCACTGCGTTTTGATTGGTGCAGAAAAGCATCGACCAGGCCTCTCGTGGCGCGTGCATCATAACCCAATATGTGCCGTTCCAGCAGCCTTGTGACGTGGCTTGAAAATACGTTCCAAGCCTCGTTTCCATTTCTACACTGCGGTAAAAACGAAAGAAATGGCAGGAAGTTCTGAAACGAGGCCTGGGCGCTTAATCTGGATGCAGCTTGTATTGAATCGACCAAAATTTTGACATTTGGGCCTTCTTGCTCAAGTTTGCTTCCGAACAAGATACTCTCTATGATGTTGGATATAGTGGCACTGATGGTGCTGTTGAAATCAAAAGGTTCGCCATTTGTATCTCGGATGTACTGCAGCAGAGCGTCTATCTCATCCTCAGTTTGTTTCTCGGTGTCAGCTTTTGCTAGGTATTTTAAGGTAAATTCTCGCTGAGCCCTCTGCCGCGCACAGTAATCGGCGCATAAAATACCTAAAAAGAAAAAATGCAGATGCTGTTTTCGATAGGCTAGGCTAGAGTTGTACACAAATGCGGTAGGGGTGACACTTTTTGGTAGTGGAATCATTACTTAAAAAAATTGTATTTTCTATAGTACATTTGTTGTTAACTAATCGATATGAATGTGAAATGTGGAAACAGTAATGTACACTTTTCGTCGTATTTCACCCAAATGAATAATAGTGTTCAGATGCTATTTTCATGGAACCACATATATTTTTCAACCAAACAGATTCTTGATTTTGTCTCAAAATTGCTCACATTAAAAAAAAACAATAGACATGAGACCGTCAAACGTGTAAATCTAAATAAGATCTCTATATCTTGTCTTCGCCAGTGTACTATGCACAGCACAGTCTCAGCTCATGCATGTTTGAGTCCTATTCACAAGCTAATAATCAACCTTGACCTACATGTATGTAAAAGTTACAACAAAATCGTCCACTGTATCATCATCACTATACGACATACAAGAGCGTAATTATATGTAGGCGCAGCCGAAATAGCTCCACTGTTGTGTGTCGCATACAGTGGTTGTCGAGTAGTTGTAACAGACTAATACCACAGATGGCGCTTCCAACAATAGGATAAAAGCACCGAAGCCTGTATATAGATACTACAAGTGCAATTATCCTGTTGTTCGAAGCCCAGCCGTGGTATTAGTAAGCAATGTATAAGCAATGCTTTGTTTAATCGGTTGTTTGTAGTAAATACTGTACATGCAACATAATGTTCCTATTTTTCTTCTTTTTTCGTCTTTTTTACTACACAAACTTGACCTTCTCCTTCCCCTCCGAGTTGTTTTATTTCTTCTACGTGAACCCACAACAGGTGTCATGAAGCTGTGACTACATTATATAATCGCTGTACACAAGCACGCATGGGAGTGGGGGTATCACGTAAACTGTTTTTCATAACGACTGACAGTAATAAGACACCAGAATTTTGGCAATCTCTCTGCATCCACTTGTTGAAGATTTAATATAGATTATAAGCTTAAGTATGGTGTAGCGGCAGACAGAACATGACGAAAATGTTTCTCAGTGATATATCAATAAAATGTCGGCATAACTATAGTTTGTGAAAGCCTTGGTAAACAACCCGATATCATTGCACAGTTTACGTATTTCAAATTCGAATATTAGGTCGGTTTAAATTATACGGCAATTTGCCCAAGGAGTAGTGTCATCATGATAATGCTCATGATGACACTACATGTACTGTCAACCTTACTTAACTCCTGTAAGTCACTATTTAACACATTTAAAGAGGGCAATGCAGTCCAACATGTATTACGTTCTCACCTCTCCCATGGAGAAAATCAAAAGTCGGAATACGCGGTCTTCCAGAAGTCAACGCTCCCTTTCTCTGAAACACGTCTTGGATAGCTTCATAACCGTTCAATATAACTGTTGTCTTGGTTCCCATTCTAACGCTGAATATGTCGCCATACTTCTTAGCCCATCCCATCATGACGAGGTGAGGATCTCTCCCGAGGAAGGGGAGAACCCCGACCACTGGGAGACCCCAGGGACCCGGGGGGGAGGCCGTTAGTCTTGTGTTGTTTCCATAGAATAAGGAGGAAAAGCACCACGAGTGCGCACAATAGCATAGGCGTATCGGGAAATGCAGCAACTGCGACTTGGAGTAGAGTCATTTTCACGTTGCTATGAGCGTTGACCTCACGTTCGGATGTCACCTTGATTGGTTAGAAACCAGTTGTTGTGAAATAGCTACATGGTTTTAAAAAAGGGTGCATAAACTTTAAATACACATATTTTAAAAACAATCTACGCGTGCCATGCTACGCCCTGGGTTCATCTTTTGTAAACCCCACATTCTACATCGGTAGAAATCCACGATAAACGCTTTCGGAGTCTTCGTCGTTTTGAGAGCAGTGAAACCCCTTGCTTTTAATGTAGCATGAGAAGGGCTTTATGAAATGGGGTCTTGCCATTGGACCGGTATTTTTGGATTGACCCCAAGGTCGATTTGTGATTCTTTTTCTCGCCATTCCTTTATGGTGTTGAGATAGGCCCTTAAGAAACTTAAATAATGCTTCAGCAAAGATATCCGGGTTTCCTTCGAAAGAATGCACGACTATCGGTTGGGGGAGGCAAGAAAGAAAAACGGCAGGCTGAGATCGTATACGAAATTTAAGAAAGATTTTAAGACCGAAAACTGTGTGGTGACTTTTCATAATCGCGGAGGTCCACATTGTCTCAGCTAAGAATCAGCGCTCGCCGCTGACAATGATACGGCCCATGGCATATAGATTTTTAATTTTTTTTAATTGGAGCTTGGCAAAGCTTTAAGGGCTACGGAGGCCGGGAATCCGAAGGATTGGCAATGTAATCTAGGCTTAAGTGTAATTTAATTTCTCTTTGACTAACACATAGATAGGGAACCATCTTTCGGTGTTTGCAAGTGATGGCGATCATCTAAACTATGTAGCAAGTTGATAGGGGCTCCTTATATAGCGTTATTTCTGCAAAACTCAGTTGCACAACGACTGCGTTCGAGTATCTACGTGTCAAATCTATATATTGCATATACTATTACGTCTTTCAAGAGAAGTCAACGACAAGGTGCCGACTGTTTACCCTCGAGGGTGACAAAAACTCGAAGCTATTTCCCATAGAGTATTATGCTGGAAGAACGGAGTAGGTCAAATTTAAGACCAGAAACAAGAAGAAGGTGCAGTTTGAAAGCTCTTTTGTGGCTGAGTGAGTGAGTAATTCGGTCTATCTCTTGGCATGTCGACTTAATTCTGCCAAAAAAGAAACTAGTAGACGCGGTCTATATGCGTTACCAGGAATGCACGCTGCCTTCGTATGTTACTGTGAGGTCCAGGGGATATATTTGCTAAATCAAATCTGTTCACATGTCTCAGAGATATTAATTTACAGTTATGACGAATGTCATTTAACGAGAAACCGCTTGTCTTACAGATACTGAGTGGACACATGAGCGTGAGGCTCAGGTTACGGACGTATGTCATAGAATATGCAATGTATTTTTGTTTGCTTCACTGGCGAATATAATTAATGAACTGATGTCACAATGACACCAAAAAGATAAATAAAAGTTATTTTTAAAAAAACACGATTTTAATCCTTATTTATTTATCAGTCAGCGAAATGAAAAAAAAAACTCAAGAAAAATGATTTGGAAAAAAATATTCCATATTAAATGTCAAGTCTGTAATTTGTATACGTTACAGGATATTCACTTTCGCTTCACATGCATCTTAAAGATGCATTTAAAGTCATATCTGTGCTGCAAATCTCGCCCTATTGCCACTATATGATTTCAAATAACATAACTTAAGCACTTATTCGGAATCAGCAGGAATAAAGCAGAACCAGTCGGAATGACTGAATTAAAAAATTCGTACTACATTCGGGAAGAAATTTCAAATTGACAAAAATTATTGTAAGAATGCCGTTGGAATACTCAGAATGCGCTTGAATCCGCCGGGAATGATACGTGCACATTTCGGCTGTATTATCTCTCAAATGCAGCTCGAATGTAGTTAAAAAACTAGGAATATCGATAATGCTGTCAGAATGCAGTCAGAATATTTAGAATACACTTCGAATACCGTACGAATGTAGTTCGATTGCTGGCTGAAATAGGATTTCGGCAACCATCGAGATGCATTCGAGTTGCATTTCGGCTCATTCTACCTTTGAAGTGTCTTGCCCTTTCGGTTCTCCCTTGAATGTGATCAGAATGTTTCGAATGCTGTAGGAATGCCGGGAGAATATTTAGAATACAGTCATAGTGCAGTTAGAATACTATTCAAATGCCATTCGATAATTTTCCACTTCGAATGCACTTCGAAAGTTTTTAACATGAGCAAAACATTCGGGCCGCCCACAAGAATGGGTAAAAATATTTGGAATGCACTCGGAATTTTAGAATGCTCTTCGATTATCCAGGAACGCACAAAGAACTGTCCGACGGTATTCTTGCTCATTCTGCCTTTCGTGTGACAGGGGTATTACAGAAATATCAAGGGGCATCGCTTTATATTAAATGATTATTGAAGGGATATAATATGCTTTCTTTCTGAGCTATATATATAACTCTAGGGCATTTCCAGCAATTTATTTGAATAATTGCTTAATTGCTTGGGTAGCATTAATGAAGTCATAAAAATGTAATGTTAGTAATTGACAGGAGCGGGAAGTGTTTTGTAGAGTGATTTGAGTTGATTGACATGCTCTTATGGTATGTATAAAACTGCGCGTAATTTAAACGGGGGAGAAGGCCGGTATCTAGAGATTGCATGAGGTAGAAATAGGAATGAAAGAAGCGGCGCATGTAACAACTGGAAGGTGGTTAATAAATAATAAGAAAGACTATAACTGTGTCGTAACATGAGCAAAAGATAAAGATAACTTCTTCACACATAACTGCGTTATTTGGCGGACTTTTACGAACTAGAGGACATATAAGTCAAATTTATGACGAACAATTTGAAGTTGAAGTTTTATAACTTTTTTATAGATGACCACGTGATTAATTTGGTTTAATAATAATATTTATTTAAAGTCTAAAATACTTTATTTCAGCCGTGTAGGTAACAAGTGGATGTTGTCTATGCGTTACAGGAAATCTACACTCGCCCTATGTAAATTTAAGGTACGGGTGGTACATTTGATACAGCAAATCTGTTAACATTCTTAGTGATTCTCTTTAACAGTTGTGTTATGTGTCATTTAACTAGAATGGGTAAATTATTTCACGAGTATATAAAAAGGTCGACATCTATAGTTATGGAAATCTATTGGCGCCATCCAGTGAGAAAATGAACCGAGATTCCTTGCGAATTAGCACAGTCATGTTAAAGCATGGTACCGTAAGATTAGTAGTACCACGATGAGGTGAGTGGTACCAATGCCGGATTGAAACACTAGTATTAGGTGCCACATTAGTGACACTAGAACCACATAGTGAAACCATGCTCTGCCTAAAATATCAAATGACAATATAGCAGTTAGTATTATGTACCCGAATAAGAAACTTTTCCTCATTTACGGAAAAAAATTCTAAAAATTCGCTTATTTATGATGAAAATTATTTTAAATCATGTTACCTTTTTTAACCCAGGCGTCAGTAAAAATTATATTGAAGTCAACAGTTAACCATTACCATTTTATTTCAGATTTTTTGTGGAATTGATATCATCTAAATATATCCAACTTTGATATTTCATTAATATCATTTCTATCTTTCTCACTTTAACATATCATATACATCATATCATCCGATCCCACAATGATATTTTATCAGCATTATGTAAACCTTTCATTTTGATTTTTGAATAATAACCCTACCAAACATTATATTACACTGATATGAAATCAAGCTTTGGCACTTTGAAATTTTGATAATATTATATAAAACTGTCCCGCTTTGATTATTGATAATTTTATGCAACGCTATCCCACTTTGATATTTTGGTAACATAACACAAAGCTATCCCACTTTGATATTTTGCTTAAATAATATAAAGCTATCCCACTATGATATTTCGATAATATAAAGCTTTCCCACTTTGGTATTTTGATAATATTAAGCTATCCCACTTTGATAAATTGGTAATAGCATATAAAGCTATCCCGCTTTAATATTTTGATAATATAAATTTATCCCACTTTGATTCCAGGTATCTCACTTGATATTTTGGTCATACTTTAAAAGATCATGCACCCACTTTCGATATTTGGATCTGATTTTCAGGTAAAATGTCAAGAGATATCCTTTGTTTGTAGAGGTCAAGTTACGTAAGTGATGCTCAGAACAATATGAATTAGCATAAGTAACATTTAGTCATACGAATAAGAATTTTGTTAACTTATTTGTGTGATCTAACAGTAATTCGGTAAAACTGGCGCTCACAGTTATCAATAAATCATTCTCCAATTATTGCAATGGTTGAAAGTCAAATCATTACGTGGATTAGGACCGGTAAGTATTTCTTGAATTAAACAACTATCTTGAAAGACTGACTCAGGAATGAAGATAAGTAATCGGAACACAAAGCACTGGCGATTGTTCTGTAAAACCACGTCGGGCTAAATTCAGTCTCCAGTTTAGTACATCCGTCTGTTGCCATCTAAGTCGTCTAACAAATGGGGCTGGAAGATAAAAAGTTATAAAGGTTATCATAGTCTTTTTTTCTATTTTACAGAAAAAGAAGCGTGAGTTCTTCTCCATTTTATTCTAAAATTTACGACAGAAATTGAGCGCAAAACCCGCATCATATCACAGGGGGGGTTTTGTATCAAGTACTACAACTTACTCCGCCTCTATATTTGGTTGTCAGACATAATATAGCAAAGTGAGTAAACAACAGCGAGTCTTGTATCTCAGACTGAGATCACTGCCTTGAAATTTAAGATAATATTATTGTGCAACTGGTAAGAAGTAAATTCTATATCCCACTCTCACCTTGGACCGTCGACCTCATCCCAAACACGACAACTCTCTGCTATGATTTGGTCCCGTATCTGAGCAGGCGCAATATGGCGG